CTGCTGGTAAATTGTTCGTTGTGGTTAAATTTTGGTTATTTTTTAGCTAAAAAATTTTCACTTGGTTCTTTGTAACAGTTTCTAGTTCTCTGCTGACATTCTCAATCTTATATTTTATTTTCTTGAGCATATTAAGCATATTTTAAGTTGCAGTCTGATAACTAATTTTTCTGGATCTCTTGTTGATCTGGTTTTTTTTTGTTTTTGTTTTTGTTTTGGTGATACGTGGGCCTCTCACTGTTGTGGCCTCTCCCGTTGTCGAGCACAGGCTCCGGACGCACAGGCTCAGTGGCCATGGCTCACGGGCCCAGCCACTCCGTGGCATGTGGGATCTTCCCGGACCGGGGCACGAACCCGTGTCCCCTGCATCGGCAGGTGGACTCTCAACCACTGCGCCACCAGGGAAGCCCTGTTGATCTGTTTTTATTTCCTGTATTTCTCTTGTGTTTTGATCCCAATGGTCTTTATTTCCTATATACCTCGTCGATTTTCATTAAATGTCAGATTTTGTATGTAAGAATTTTAGAAATAATTTGAAACCTTAGATGAAGATATTTTCCTTCAGACAAGATTTATGATTGTTTCTAGAGGGCACTATCAATTCTGGATCAACTTAATTTAGACAGGATTTGGGATGATTCAGATTTAAGCCTAAGTTCTTAGTTTGCTGTCTTAGTCCATTTGGGCTGGTATAACAAAATACCATAGACTGGGTAGCTTATAAATAATAGAAGTTTATTTCTGATACTTCTGAAGGCTGGGAAATCCCAGATCAAGGAGCCAGCAGATTTGGTGTCTGGTGAGGGTCCCCTTTCTGTTCATAGAATGCCATTGTCTCTCTGTGTTCTCATGTGGCAGAAAGGGCAAGGAAGTTATCTGGGGTCTTTTGGGCACCAGTGGCATTAATGGGCACTAATCTCTTCAATGAAGGCTTTGCCCTAATAACTGCCGAAAAGCCCTAACCCTAAATATCACATTGGGGGTTATGATTTCAACATATGAATTTTGAGGGGATACAGATATTCAGTGTATAGCATTGGTTATCTATTTTTAGTTTACTCTCTTTTTTTAAATTCTTTTTTTTTTTTTTTTTTTGTCTCACTGTTGTGGCCTCTCCCATCGCGGAGTACAGGCTCTGGACGCGCAGGCCCAGCGGCCATGGCTCACGCGGCACGTGGGATCCTCCCAGACCGGGGTACGAACCCGTGTCCCCTGCATCGGCAGGCGGACTCTCAACTACTGTGCCACCAGGGAAGCCCTAAATTTTTTTTTAATTAGAGTATAGTTGCTTTACAATATTATGTTAGTTTATACTATACAGCAAAGTGGATCAGCTATATGTATACATATTTCCCCTGTCTTTTGGATTTCATTCTCATAGAGCACTGAGTAGAGTTCGCTGTGCCATACAGTAGGTTCATATTAGTTATCTATTTTATACATAGTGTCAATAGTGTATATATGTCAATCCCAATCTCCCAATTCATCCCACATCCCCCTTTCTCCCTTGGTATCCATATGTTTGTTCTCTACGTCTGTGTCTCTATTTCTGCTTTGTAAATAAGATTGTCTATACCAATTTTTTCAGATTCCACATATATGCATTAATATATGATATTTGTTTTTCTCTTTCTGACTTATTTCACTCTGTATGACAGTCTCTAGGTCCATCCATGTCTCTACAAATGACCCAGTTTCATTCCTTTTTATGGCTAATATTCCATTGTATATATGTACCACATCTTCTTTATCCATTCCTCTGTCATTGGATATTTAGGTTGCTTCCATGTCCTGGCTATTGTAAATAGTGCTGTGAACATTTACATTGGGGTGCATGTGTCTTTTTGAATTGGCTTACCTTTTCAAGATTCAGTCCTATATAGCCATTTTATCAGGTCATTTTCTCTTACCTGCAGACCTCCCTTCTCATCTCTTCCCAAGGTCATGATACTCCAATTTTTGTATGAGCTTATCAAAAGCTGTACTCAGCTTCTTAGCCTCTTAGCTACCTCTGTCAGAACTGTCAGAAACCCAAAAGGAAAAGTAACCTCAAATACCAGGCTTATCTCTCTGTGTTTACTTCTGTTTTTTAAAATAATACAGATAATTTTTTTTAATTTTATATATATATTTTTGGCTGCGTTTGGTCTTTGTTGCTGCGTGTGGGCTTTCTCTAGTTGTGGCGAGTGGGGGCTACTCTTCATTGCGGTGCACGGGCTTCTCATTGCAGTGGCTTCTCGTTGCGGAGCATGGGCTCTTGGCACACGGGCTTCAGTAGTTGCAGCACACAGGCTCAGTAGTTGTGGCATGTGGGCCCTACAGTGGGCAGGCTTCAGTAATTGCGGTACGTGGACTCAGTAGTTGTGGCTCATGGTCTTAGTTGCCCCGTGGCATGTGGGATCTTCCCAGACCAGGGATCGAACCCATGTCTCCTGCATTGGCAGGCAGATTCTTAACCACTACGTCACCAGGGAAGTCTTGTGTTTATTTCGTATACTGAGTTTCAGACTTGTAATTTTTTTACTACCTTGTTAGGTTTCTCCTGCCTTCAAGCAGAGTTTTTCGTTATCTACCTTTTCAAGTCGATTTTAGCAGGAGGTTTGTTTTTGAACCTTCTAATCTCTCAGATTACCCTGCTATATTCCATTTACAGCCTTCATACATCCTGTTCCTCCTGCTTGAAAATCTCTAGTTTCCCACCCCACTAACTCCTAGTTTACACCTATTCATGCTATGGGTCAAGTCCTGAAGAGCTCTTCCTCAGCCTTCACTGACTCCCTGCAGGATTATCTTGTTATACTCTCTTATAGCACTACCTGAATACCTTTATTGTACTTGTAGTTTATAATTATATATTTATTTGTGTCTTTATTTCATTTAATGTTTGCCTTTTCAACACAATGTCAGGTGCTTGAGGAATAGGACTGTTACCAGTTTTTTTTTCTTATTACAGACCCGAATGATAAGCTACAAGGAATATTTAATATTTCTTCAAAAACTGGACATATAAGTATTGGGTTAAATGACTGAGATTTCCCTTGGATGAAAATAGCAGAATTTAAAGAAAGAAAAAGATTATATTCATGGGTTCTTAGAAGGTAGAAAGGGCATAATTTATATTTTATTTTTATTTAAAAAATTTATTATAAAGTACTTCAGACATATTAAAAGTGTGAGTTATGTAATATACCTAGCTGTACTCACCACTCTGCCTAAGAAATAGACATAATTTATTTTTATAAAAATACAGAGAGCCCAGAAATATACCTCTATAAATATAGTCAACTGATCTTTGACAAAGGAGCAAAGGCAATACAATGGAACAAAGATAGTTTCTTCAGTAAATGGTGCTAGATCAATTGGACATCCACGTGCAAAAAAAAAAAAAAAAAGTGAATCCAGATACAGACCATACACCCTTCACAAAAATTAACTCTAAATGGATCATAGACCTAACTGGAAAATGCAAAACTGTAAAACTCCTAGAAGATAGCATAGGAGAAAACCTAGATGATCTTGGGTATGGTGATGCCTTTTTCGATACAACACCAAAGACACCATAGTGTCGTCTTTGAAAGAAACTGTGAAAAAAATAATTGATAAGCTGGATTGCAGTTAAGTTAAAAACTTTTGCTCTGTGAAAGACAAAATCAAGAGAATTAGCAGACCAGCCACAGGTTGGAAAAAAATATTTGCAAAATCACATCTGATAAAGGACTATTATCTAAAATATGAAAAGAACTCTTAAAATTCAACCATAAGAAAACAAACAGCGCTTTTAAAAAATGGGCTAAAGACCTTAACAGACACCTCACCAAAGAAGATACACAGATGGCAAATAAGCACACGAAAAGATACTTCACATCATATGTCTCTAGGGAAACGCAAATTAAAACGAGATACCTGTACATTCCTAGAATTGCCACAGTCTGGAGCTGTGACAGAATCAAATGCTGGTGAGGATGCAGAGCAACAGGAACTCTCACTTATTGCTGGCAGGAATGTGAAATGGCACAGCCGCTTTGGAAGACAGTTTGGCGGTTTCTTCCAAAACTGAACATACTCTTTCCATATGATCCAGCAATACTGCTCTTTGGTATTTATGCAAAGAGTTGAAAATTTATGTCTACACAAAAACCTGCACATGGATGTTTATAGCAGCTCTGTTCATAATTGCCCAAACTTGGAAGCAACCAATGTCTTTCAGTAGGTAAATGGATAAATAAACTGTGGAATAGCCAGACAATGGAATATTATTCAGCACCTAAAAGAAATGAGCTATCAAGCCATAAAAATACATGGAGGAAACTTAAATGCATATTACTGAGTGAAAGAAGCCAATCTGAAAAGGCTGTATGATTTCAAGTATATGACATTCTGGAGAAGGCAAAACTCTGGAGACAATAAAAAGACAGTGATTGTGGTGGGCAGAGGGTGGGTTGTGGGGAGGAGAGAGATAAATAACCAGAGAACAGAGGAGCAGGGCAGTGAAAGTACTTTATATGATATTATAAAAATGGATAATATCATTATACATTCGTCTAAACCCACAGAATGTACATCACCAAGAGTGAACCCTAAGATAAACTGTGGACTTTGGATGATTATGATGTGTCAGTGTAGGTTCATCCTTGGTAAAAAATGTACCATTCCTGTGAATGATGTTGATAGTGGGGAGGCTCTGCATGTTTTGGGGGGCAGGGGATATAGGGGAAATCTCTGTACCTCCCTCTCAATTTTGTTGTCAACGTAAATAAAACTGCTCTAAAAAAATAAAGTCTTAAAAAAATCAGAAAAAAACCTAGAAAGATTAATTTCTACCGGAGATTAATAAATCCGCAAGATACATAGCAACCAAAAAATATACACTGTATACTAAGATATAAACATATATGTAGTCTGCTGAGCAATTACTTTGGCTTTTAGGTACTTCTGTGGTAAAGTAATTAGTTATTATTATAAATTTGTTTATTTAAGGAAATTTTTCTTTAAACTTTCAGATGATACAGCATTGTTTGAGTTGATTCAGCTAGTTCCGCCAGGTACTGTATTGTGTTTTGATAAGGTAATTGACATCTGAACTCATTTCAATGAAATGTTTTTTAAAAATCTCATCTTTTCCCCTTCTTCCCAAATTAAGAGCAATGTTGAGTCTCTAGCATTGGTCTACTATGTGTAAAATGTCAGTAGGCCAAAATAATATATACAGAAAGATTGACATAAATTATATTTGAACACATTGTTCTAAAATTGAATAGTCATAATTTAAAGTGGGAAATAACTCGATATGATCCTAGCATATTTTGTGACATTCATAAAAATTAACTTCTTTAAGTTTTTGTGATTTTTCTAAACCAATATGCTTTTGCTGATAAAGTAGTTCATTATCTTTGTTTTTGTGTATTGACTGTTATTGGGAATGTAGGGGAATTAAAACTGTACCTACTTAATAAACAGTACAGATCCCTGCAGTAGGCAGAGTTAAAATCTGAAGGATAGTTTTATTTTTATTATTGATTTCTATGATTATAGAAGACTCTATCTTAAGTCCTTATTTTATGTGAGAAAGAGAGAACTATATTTTATTGAAAGCTAGTAGTCTAAAAGTTTTGAATATCACATATATACCTAATCCAGGTAACCACAAATTCTATAAAATGTCTATATTTTTTTCAATATGTAACCTAATATCTCATAATGGCAGGTAGAAAAGAATGGAAGATAGAAAAAAAAATTCTGGAGATGGTAATTAAGTTTTATATGTATAAATGTTATGTCAGTTTGATATGTTTAAAAGGATTTTCTTTTCTAGGAACTCATATGTACTTAAAAAGTTTACATGAACATCCCCTTTCTACAAAAGGGAGGGAGAATTAGTAGTATGTATGACATTTCTGAATGAGGAAATGTGTTAATTCGTTTAACATAACTTTATTCTAATTTCCCTTTCATAGAAAAAAAAATTAAGTCCATGACCCTGAAGCAGGTATTTCATTAAGGCATCAGGCATTATATATTTGTACTTGATGATATTGTTTCTAAATAGCATATTTTGTTATAATTTGAATCATAGGATATCTTTCTTATAGTGGGTGAAACACTGTCTACATATGATGAGAATACACGAGATTTCATGTTCCCGGGTCCAAATCAAATTTCTGGACACCATGACTCAAACCGCCAGGCTACCATGAGGAGGATTTCTGGCCTTCGCGTAAGTGCTTACTATTTTCTGAATCAAATCGTGATGCAGGGTCATTGTCAAAAACCAACACATAGCCCTCAATATCTGAAATGGGAAGACCTAACTCAAAGTTTAGTTTAGTTTAAAACATAATTGCTTTATGAAATTATGATGTTATTTTAAGCATACTGAAATCTAAATGAAAATACTTTACCTAAATGCACGCATCTACCTTCCAAAATTAACAAGCATTATTTTGCCTTATATTCTTCAGATTTCTGTCCTCTTCTTCTCCCCCTTTCCTCCCCTCCCCACTGTCCCTATGTCTTTGTCTCTCTTCTCTTTATTTTTCTCCCAAAAGAATGGCCAATAAATATTTGAAAACATGTGCAATCCCATTAGCATTTAGGAAAATTCAAATTAAAGCAATCATATGATTTCATTTTTATAGCCATAAGATTGGTAAAATTTAATAAATCTGACAAATGTCAAAAGCATGGAAAAATGGAAGCTTGTATATGTTGCTATGTCATGTAAATCGGAACAACCACAATTCAGGATTATCTAGTGAAGGCCAAGATTCTCATAGCCTGTGACCTTCTAGGTATATAGCTTTAAGATGTATTCTGTCTGGCATACTAAGAGCCTTCTTAGGAATGTTCGTTTGTAGCATTGTTCATAATAATGAAAAAATGGAAATAATTGAAATGTCCATTAGTAGGAGTTTGGATAGAATAATTATTACATGTTCATGGAATGGAATTACATATTCATACCCCTAAAAGTGAAAGCTGCATTAAGTGATAGCCAACTCTCATCTTTTCCTGCAACTTCTTCAGTTTTATTGGATAATTAATAATATTTTTATTCCTGAAAATGCCTTCTGCCTAGAGAGACTGAGTGAAGCCCCTGCTGTTTCAAAGAAGAAAAAAGTAAAAGTTGTCTACACTGAAATTATTTGGACAAATATTTTTCACTAACTTTAGGAGATATTAGAGCAGTAAGGAAATTGGGGTGCTACATGAGCCAATATGGTGAATTAAGTAACTTCTGCTGTATTTCCTGTAGGAAATAGCAAATTTCAGCTTGCTGAAAGTATAAAAGTTGACTATCAAATCTATTAAAATATACCTCCTTTGGGATATTTTCAGTGTCCATTAGCCCAAAAAGTCTTCCAAGAATGTTTCAGGGACTTTCTAGAAGCCTGCAATGAAAAAAATCTGATTTTAAAATTAAAGTTTTTTTTTAAAAGTAATTTAAAATGCTGTATTATACCAAATTGGCAATATAAACATAAGAATATGGTCCATTAACAGGTATTTTTCCTTATTGAATTTGAGTTACTTTCACATATATCAAAAAGTTTGGATTACTAAGGCAAAAAGTCTATATATATTCTTAAAAGATAAATTGGGGCATATTAAAAATTTTGAGTTTATTTGAGCAAGAATTGATTTGATTCAAGCAGCATCCAATCTAGCAGATAGAAAGAAGCTCCAAAGAGCTGTGCAAAATGAAAGATTTTTATATCCAGAAGGGAGCAGGAACAAGGACATTATACTAGGCCAAAAAGTGTGTTGATTATTGCAAGGTTCCTTTCATTTAGGGGATGGCAGAGGGTCTAATCAGATGGATTACCTAGTGAGTGCTAATCAGGTGATTCCTGATTGACTGGTTTAAAATTCCATTTCTGGGAGAGCCGAAACTGTAATTAATTTAAATCTGTTTGGTGACACGGGGCTTAGCGTAAGCAACTCAATTTTGGGCCTGTTGTTTTTAACAATATAAAAAGTGAGACTTCTGGTGATGATGGTGTGAAGGGTCTGTCAATTACTCTCTCCACACAGGTATAAAACTGGACAAAATTGTCACAAGCTGCAGTTTTAGGGCACTGGAAACTGATTGGCAGTTAAGACAATTAAGACAAATTAAGAAGTATCCGTGCTTGAATAGCTGCTAAAACTTTGGGTAAAAATGGCAGAAGTATGTGGTCATCTTGCCTAGGACAGCTCTCATACCCTGCATAGCCAGTGAGAACTGTAGCTTCACTAAGCCTGGGGCAAGTTGCAAAAATTAGTAGCTTTGCTACCAGAGAGGTCAGAATCAATTTTGGACAGTGATACTGTGATTTGTAATAAGAAACAGACATTTGGTCTTCTGGCCCCATTCTTGGCACAGAGCTCATAAAACCTTTGGAATTTCCTGTGTTTAAGAACTATAAAGATGTCTTTTGTTATGTTAATGAGGAGACTTTTGGAAAGCTCCTTGGGAACCTAAGGATGGGGTCTTGATGCCAGGGGAACCAACCAGGTGATTAGAGGGTTGGAACTTTCAGCCCCACCCCTGAGAAATAGAGGGGCTGGAGATTGAGTTCAGTCACCAATGGCCAGTGATATAATGTCACGCCTGTGTAATGAAGCGGCTATAAAACCCAAAGGATGGGGTTTGGAGAGCTTCCATGTTGGTGAACACGTGGAGGTACTGGGAGAGTGGCTCACCTGGTGAGGGCACAGAAACTTCTCCCCGCTTCCCACATATCTCACCCTAGACATCTCTTCCATCTGGATGTCATCATATCCTTTTATATAAACTGGTAAACTAAGTAAACTGTCTCCTGAGTTCTTTGAGCAGCTGTGGCAAATTGATCAAACCCAAGGAAGGGGTCGTGGGAACCTCTTATTTGTAGCCTGTGGGTGACAACCTGGACTTGTGATGAGCATCTGAAGTCAGATAGGAGCAGTCTTGTGGAGCTGAGCCCTTAACCTGTGGGATCTGACGCTATCTCCAGGTAGTGTTAAATTTCAGGACACCCAAATGGTGTCTCAGAGACTTTTCTTGGTGGTGTTGGAAAACCCACACGTTGGAATTGGTGTCACAATCATAGGGGCAAATATTGTGTCTTTGCCAGCTGAATGCGGTGGATTCAGTTAGAAGCGCATGAGAGAAACCCACAGCTTTGCTAGGCCGATTGCAGTTCCAATCAGAGCGAGCAGCACACCTGCCAGAAAGTTGACAGGAGGCCCTGGAAGTAAGGGAGCAATAAAAGGGCTGAGATGAGCTTTCCACTCATTCCTGGCTGACTGAAACTATGCACGTTCAGGGGAGACAGTGGGAGTCCAGCAAAAAGTGAAAGCCAAGGGAGACTAGAGACCTGCTGTACCTTTGAGTGCATTCCCCAACCCACACACAGATAATCAACAAAGAGTGGAACCCTTACAGGTTCATTGGATGACCACTAAGCTATGCATACTCAGATGAGACCACTAGAACGAATACAAGAATAAAAAGACATGGCATATATATAAATTGAACAGCAAAATAGCAGTTGTAAGTTCAATCATATCAGTTATTGTATTTAGATGTGAGGGGACAACACACTCCAATCAGTAGTTTGCTGTCCTGGCAGGCAACAATGCACCCTTCCTCAGAATTCTGATGATTCTGCATAGACATCTGAGTCTTAGGCTGACTTCCTGAACCCATCACTGTGGCGAGGATTCAAGTCACATCTGGGGTTAAATCCTGGCACTATCACAGGCTACTACTATCACTATACCATGGAGATAACGTTGTTTGGTGGATTAATAAAAACTTGTAAATGGTTATTTTAGTACCTGGTACATAGAGAATGATCAGTAAATGTTAGTGATACAGTGGTGGCCATGGAGATCATGACAAGGTGCTGTTGTTGGTGGCAGTGATATTAATCAGAATCTGTGACTTTCTCATCTTTGATCTTACCTCTTAGCACAGATCTTTGTATGTACTTAAATGACTTGGTTGAATTGAATAAATTACATCTTATTGTAGACTTCATAGAGGAAACTGACATTTCCGATGTGTGATGATTAAATTTATTTTGGTTAGGTTGTGGCTAGATGTTACTCTGAAGGTATTGTGTAGATTTGACTACTATTTACAATCACTTGACTTTAAGTGTAGGAGATTACCCTTGATAATGTAGGTAAGACCTCATCCAATTAACTGAAGACCTGAAGAGCAAAAACTGAAGTTTCCAAAAGAATAAGGAATTCTGCCTCAAGACCGTAATATAGAAATCCTGAGTTTCCAGCCTGCTGGCTTGCTTACATATTTCACACTCAATACTACAGTATCAACTTTGCCTGAGTTTCCAGCCTGCCAGCTTTCCCTGTGGATTTTGGACTTGTCACTCTCACAATTGCATGTACCAATTCCTTAAAATAAATATCTCTCTGTGTATATATTCTGTTAGTTCTGTTTCCCTGAAACCCCAGTTGATACACATGGGTTTTGAAAGATCTAAAGATAATGGCTAAAATACTGAGTATTTACTATATGACCAGCAATATATGGGGAGGGGTAAAGTGATAAGTTGCAGTCCAGGCTGTGGTACTTATAAAATATGTCCACAAATGATTTGACACTCCTCTCTTCCAAAGACAGAGTTTCTTAAGTATGGACTCTACTTAGTGACTCTAACAGATACACTGTGGTGAAGTGATAGTTTTAGACTTTTGAGACCAGGTCATTAAATGCACTGTGGCTTCCTCCTTGCTCTCACTCTTATATCACTCATTCCTGGGGAAGCCAACTGCCATGTTTGAGGACACTCAAGCCTCTGGGGAGGGAAGAAGCTGGGACAGCTTTGCTGGAGTGTGTATGAAAGCTTGAAGAGCCGTGAAGAAACTGTCAGATGAGTGTTTGGAAGAAAATAAGGCAAATTTTATTGGAAATTAGGGGAGAAAAGAGCCCTTGTTATGTAATGGTGTAAAGTTTAGCTGGAATGTGGGATATAGAAAAAAATACCTGATGGAATGGGTGGTCTTTGTAAGACTTTCAGACAGAGTATTAGAGGGGCTGTCTGGTTTCTTTTTGATGTTTATAGCAAAATATAAGGGGAGAGAGAAGCAAAAGGAAAGCCTGTTAATAACACAAAAAGGAGCTGGAACTTACTGTTTTTGAGGATTCTCGGCCTTCCCCAATGGCAGATAATGTTGAAATTAAGGAATGACTTAAGAGCAAAAATCATTCTAGGGTATGTTCAGGAAATTTTGGTCTGATGGTGAAACCAAGGGGGTGTGACTGTAAAATCCTTTATTAAAATCTCCAAAAGATCCAAGATGTTGCCTCAGAAAATAATTTAATTAAACATAGGTTTTATTTTACTTTATTTTTTACATTAAAAATTTTTTTAATTAAAACTATTTTTCATACGATTTTTGTAATTGAAGTATAGTTGATTTACAACGTTGTGTTAGTTTCAGGTGTACAGCAAGGTGATTTAGTTATATGTCTACATATATATATACATATATCTCTTTCAGATTCTTTTCCATTATAGGTTATTACAAGATATTGAATATAGTTCCGTGTGCTATACAGTAGGTCCTTGTTGTTTATCTATTATATGTATAGTAGTGTGTATCTGCTAATCCCAAACTCCTAATTTGGGAGCTCTGACCAGTGTGAGGTGATACCTCATTGTAGTTTTGATTTGCATTTCTCTAATAATTAGTCATGTTGAGCATATTTTCATGTGCCTGATGGCCATCTGTATGTCATCTTTGGATAACATACAGATGGCAGTTTAAGTCTGTTTAGGTCTTCTGCCAATTGTTTGATTGGGTTGTTTGTTTTGTGATATTGAGCTATATTAAGCTGTATGAGCCCTTGTTGGTCACATTGTTTGCATATGTTTTATCCCATTCTGTACATTGTCTTTTCATTTGTTTATGGTTTCCTTTGCCATACAAAAGCTTTTAAGTTTAATTAGGTCCCATTTGTTTATTTTTGCCTTTATTTCCATTACTCTAGGAGATGGATCCAAAAAAATAATTGCTGTGATTTATGTAAGTTTTCTGCCTATGTTTTTCCTATAGGAGTTTTACAGTATCTGGTCTTACATTTAGGTCTTTAATCCATTTTGAGTTTTTTTTTTTTTGCGTTACATGGGCCTCTCACTGTTGTGGCCTCTTCCGTTGCGGAGCACAGGCTCCGGACGCGCAGGCTCAGCGGCCATGGCTCACGGGCCCAGCCGCTCCGCGGCATGTGGGATCTTCCCGGACCAGGGCACGAGCCCGTGTCCCCTGCATTGGCAGGTGGACTCTCAACCACTGCACCACCAGGGAAGCCCCTTGAGTTTATTTTTGTATATGGTGTTAGAGAATGTTACAATTTCATTCTTTTACATGTAGCTTTCCAATTTTCCTAGCACCACTTATTGAAGACACTCTTTTCTCCATTGTATATTTTTGCCTCCTTTGTCATAGATTAATTGACCTTGAGTGCATGGGTTTATTTCTGGGCTTTCTGTCCTGTTCCATTTATCTATATGTCTGTTTTTATGCCAGTATCACACTGTACTGATTACTGTAGCTTTGTAGTATAGTCAGAAGTCAGAGAGTGTGATTCCTCCAGCTCCATTCTTCTTTCTCAAGATTGTTTTGGTTATTCTGGGTCTTTTGTGTTTCCATACAAATTTTAAAATTATTTGTTATAGTTCTGTGAAAAATGCCAATGGTAATTTGATAGGGATTGCATCAAATCTGTAGATTGCCTTGGTAGTATGGTCATTTTAACAATATTGATTCTTCCAATCCAAGAACATGGTATATATTTCTATCTGTTTGTGTTGTCTTCAATTTCTTTCAAGAGTGTTTTATAGTTTTCAGAGTACAGGTCTTTTGCCTCCTTAGGTAGGTTTTATTCCTAGGTGTTTTATTCTTTTTGATGCAATGGTAAGTGGGATTGGTTCCTTAATTTCCCTCTCTGATAGTTTGTTGTTCATGTATAGAAATGCATCATATTTTTGTATATTAATTTTGTATCCTGCAACTTTACCAGATTTATTGATGGGCTCTAGTAGTTTTCTGGTGTGTCTTTAAGATTTTCTATGTATAGTATCATGTTATCTGCAAATAGTGAGAGTTTTACTTCTTCCTTCCAATTTGGATTCCTTTTATTTGTTTTTCTTCTCTGATTGCCATGGCTAGGACTTCCAAAACTATGTTAAATAAAAGTGATGAGAGTGGGCATCCTTGTCTTATTCCTGATCTTAGGGGGAATGCTTTCAGCATTCCTTTTCACTGTTGAGGATGATGTTAGCTGTGGGTTTGTCATATATGACCTTTATTATGTCGAGGTATGTTCCCTCTATACCCACTTTCTGGCAGAGTTTTTATCATAAAAAGATGTAGAATGTTATCACATTTTTAAAGGTTACTTTCCACTTACAGTTATTACAAAATATTGGATATATTCCCTATGTTGTATAATACAGCCTTGAGCCTATCTTACACCTAGTAGTTTGTACTTCCCACTTCCCCACCCCTATATTGGCCCTCCCCCCTTTCCATGGTAATCACTAGTTTATTCTCTGTATCTGTGAGTCTGCTTCTTTTTTTGTTACATTTACTAGTTTGTTGTATTTTTTTAGATTCCACATATAAGTGATATCATACAATATTTGTCTTTCTCTGTCTGACTTATTTCACTTAGCATAATGCCCTACAAGTCCATCCATGTTGCTGCTAATAGCAAAGTTTTGTTCTTTTTTATGGCTGAGTAGTAGTCTATTGTGTGTGTGTGTGTGTGTGTGTGTGTGTGTGTGTGTGTATGTATATGCCACATGTTTTTTGTCCATTCATCTGTTGATGGACCCTTAGGTTGCTTCCATATCTTGGCAGTTGTAAATAATGCTGCTTAAACATATGTTCTTGAAGATGACTGAAGACCAGCAGAAGCCCTGTAGAGGTGGGTGTGGTTTTTGTCTAAGGTAGTGAACTCCAATTATGTTCACATGAGAACCAAATACATTTTTAAGAGCATTATATTGGCAGAAGCACCACCAGCATGGTCTGAAATTGAGAGAGACCTTACAAAATGAAAAGGCTTTTCTATTGACAGGACCCAGGCTCAGAACACTGTTTAGCTCTAAACATTGTCTACCTCCTGTTGCAAAGGAACGATAATTCAAAGGATGGAAGCAAGAGCCCAGAGAGTAGAGCCAAAAACTATGGATAGTTATTTCTGAGCAGAAAAAGGACTAAACTTCTAAGTGAGAAACTTCTAACATTTTCCTGGCTGATTTCAGAATTGCTGTGGACCAGTGATTTCTATTTGCCTCTTGTATTCCCTTTTTTTGAATAGGAATGTCTATAGTGATTATCCTCTGCCTGCTGCATATGTGTACCTTGAATATATGTGGGGCACATAACTTGTTTCTTTAGTTCATAGGTCTTCTAATTGTGAGGAACTGTATCCTAGAAACTGTATTTAAAGAACCATACCTGAGACAGCTGAATAACAATTTGATTTAGATGCCAATATCCTGGATTTCAAGCTGAAGTTATAAAAGGATGAGACTTTTCCCCTTTCCTTTCCCTTTTCCTTTTTCTTCAGTAGGGCATGAGTTTAGTTTACACATGAGAGGAATTTAATCTGTGGTCAGAGAGTGAACTGTGGTGGTTTAAAAGCATGTCCCCCAAATTTTTGATGCTCCTCTGCTAAAAAGGTAGTTCCTTTGGTCTAGAACGTGGGCTGTACTTAAGGGCTCTAATGAATAGAATGTGACAGAAGTGACAGTGTTAGACTTCTGAAACTAAGTCATAAAAAGGATTATGTCTTCCTCCTTGCTTTGCTTTGAGAGAACTAGTTACCATGTCATGAGGACACTCAGGCAGTCCTATCGAGAGGTTTGTGTGATAAAGAGCTGAGTTCTCTTGCTAAAAGATAGAAAAGAACTGAGTCCTCCAGCCAACAACTGTGTGAAACTCAGGAAGCAGATCCTCCAGCCTCTGTCAAGCTTTCAGAAAACTACAGCCCAAACAACATCTTGACTGCAATCTCATGAGAGATTTCAAGCCAGAACCAACTAGTTCAGCCTCTGCCAGATTGCTGACCTTTAGGAACTATGTGAAATAGTATGTACTTATGTTTTAAACTGCTAAGTAATATGCTATGCAGCAATGGATAACTAACAAGTAAGCATTATCAATAAAAGTATGTTTGCAGAAAAACAGTCGTCCATTTAATTCATAGGTAACTCATATTTAACCTTTTTGTAGTGTGTAATATTTGAAACTTTAAAGTTAGTAGGTCAAAGACTGGGTAAGATATCTGACCTCCAATATATTAGAGTGAAGCTGCCCTGGGTACAGACAATATACTGTATCTTTTAGTGTTTTGGTGAATATGTAACTTGTGTGCTTCCAAATATTTTCTCAGGTGCTTTGTGACTGTTCCTTTGAATTTTACTATTTGTCTCTGCTTATCTCAAAACAGTTTAAACTGATGATTGAAATGTTGCAAAAAATAGAAACCAGATTCATTCATTCATATATCAATGTAAGCTACATTATGGGAAAAACTGTTGGAGGAATTGGTAGAGACTTATCTCTCTTCTGTTTTCAAAAACTGCATACCCAGGAGCTTTGATTTTTTTTTTTTTTTTTTGACACGTGGAGACGGTGCAAAGTATTTCTGGATTATGTAGTTAAGTACATCTTAATCTGTAAAAGTAAAAAGAGCCAGAATCCATTAAGTATTTTCAAATATTTAGGACTTTAATATTATTAAAAATCTTTTAAAAATTGACAGGGAAATACTTGAAAATGAAAAATATCTGAATTTTTCCATAAAAGTGATATAATCACTTGTAAGTGAATCATCAGCAGTAAAACTGTTTCTTGGTAACATTTAACATTTGTTTGTTGTCTTTATCCTTAATAAGAAATTCAAACTAACAGATAAAGCAGCTGAACCTTGGTAAGTGTTTGTTACTATAGGTCATGTTTTCACCAGTAATAATTAGCTTTTTAAAAATTAAAATGTCTACTAATACCCTCTCTTTCTTCCTCAGGGAATTGCTCCAAAGCTGGAATTTTCTACAACCTCAGTGATTACCGAATGTGTGATAAGTTCAAGGAAGTGCCACACTCAGGTTAAAATCATTTATTTAAAATATCTAATGGTTTAATTTATTTGTTTGTATTTATTGGGCATTTGGCAAGCATTATTCTTTTATTTTGGCTACAACTCTTTTCACATTTTTTTGATCAATCTCTAGTTTAAGTAAAACAATTATCTTAGGTATTTAGCTGTTTGGTTACATGTTAATAAGTGTGGAAGTGAAAAGCTTGGTGTACGTGGTAGATGATACTTTTTTTTTTTAATGGAAAGAAATTAGGCTGCCAGAAAGATGTTGGTTTCAAAAAGTTCCACAGAGAACTTGATTGGAGGCTTCTATGAATCTTAAAGAAATTAAAGTTCAGAGGATACCTTTTTAGCGAATGGGACCAGAGGTTCTCAGGCTGGGATATAGGTGGTTAGTGGGTATAGCTTCTTGAGTGTCTCCGATTCCTTAAGGGACTGTTGCTTAGTTTGGTGGCTGTTCTAGTGCTATCAGATCAAGAGAAGCTTCAATACTTCAGCCTAATAAGTACCTTCTATGTTTGTAAAAACTGCCTTCAGTAAACTCAGATATCTGGATCTAATATTGCATTCTGGTCTAACTTCCTACTGAGTCACCAGGATCATCTTGCTACCCTGACCACAGGTTATCTAATAATGCCTAAGCATCACTCATACATATGTGACTGCATTATGACCAGGTAACAATGGCCAGCCTGTGATGATGAGCCAGTAATATATAAAGCCTAGAGGACCCAAACAGGGCAGAACTGGACCTATGGTGGAAAAAGTAGAATGTTAATTTCCTGCATTATCAGTTTCAGAGTGAATTTGCTCAGGGTGGTAACTTGACAAGCTAACAAAGGTAAAATATAATTGTAAGGTTATCAAGGGGATCTTTCTTATTTTGTTTAGCAAGACATTTGGTATGTTAGAGTTTGGCCTAATTATTTATCTTTTAAATGCAAGCTGAAACACTGCTGCTAGAGATCTAATGATACATACTTGCCAACTGCAGAGCTGGGTTACTGACTTGTTTGGAGATATGCACTGTGCACATTTGTAAATTGTCAGAAATGCTTCCTCTGGATTCACAAAAGTTTCCTCTCCACACTGGGGTATGCCTTTACTGGGTGGGTAGAAATTTCTTTTTTTGTCAGGAGTGTAGTATACACACAGAAGAGTACACACATTCTAAGTGTACAGCTTAGTGGAAGATTCCTTACTAAATGTAGGACTTTCACCCCACTAGTAGTTTCATTGGACTAGCATTTTCCTCTGTAAGCTTTTGGCTAACTTGCCGTTTCAATGTTTGTCGTTTGTTTTTTGTTGAACAGAGATGTGAGCGAATAGGCTTTGGTGTTATTAAGAAAATATTCTTGAGAATCAGACAGATTTGGGTTCAAGTTCCTCAAAAGACTGGTTTAAAGATTAAATTAGAGAATATATGTGTCTGCACATAGCATATAATTAATAAATTTTGTGGCTGTTACTGAGGTTATTAGTTGTTTAATTAAGATAATTGAGATATAGAAGACAAAGATGAAATATAAGATGAAGATACTGTATGGTAGGCACAACAGAGTATACACTTTTACATTAAAATTCTGAATGGTAACAGCCAGAATTTTAATCTTATTTGATCTTATTTGAGAACATGCTAAATCCACTTTTTTTCCAAGTGGATATTAGTTACAATTAAAATTTTAATGGCTATAAAACAGCGTTTTCAGGTTCAAATACAGTTTAAGAATTAGACAAACCATTTTTGGTTTTTAAGAGAGGAGTGATTGAAATGAACTCTTTAAAATCATTTAGGTTTATAAATATTTATAATGATCTTTATTCCTTTTGGCACATTATTTTCAAATTTTTTGTCACAATTGATGTTTTGCCACCAATTGAATGGACTGAAAAAAATAAATATATTATTGGGATTTTCTGGAATATATCTAGTTTTCTATGTAGTCTCTTTTACCTACTGCAAAGTAGAATTTATTAGTAAATAGTTAAATATTACTAGTAACTTTATTAATATGTTTGATAATCTATATCAGGTAGCTTTTGCTGTGTAACAAGACACACTAACTTAGTAACTTAAAATGTTTCTCACAGTTGTGTGGATTGGCTGGGTGATTCTTTTGGTCTGGGCTGCCTAGGCTAGGGCTGAGTGGTCTAGGAGGGCTTCACTTGCATGTCTGGCAGCTGGCTGACTTCTTGGTGTGAGAGGGACTTTACATTCCTGGTGTTTGGCTTGATTTCAGCTGGGGTGATGGCCACAGACTCTCATCATCTAGCAGGCTAATTTCAGCTCATTCACATGTGGCAGGAAGGTTTTCTGGAGTAAAAGAAGACTAGCACTTTTCAAGTCTCCTTTTGTCACAAGTGCTATTGTCCTCGTGGCTGATCTAGGGAGCCATTTTGTGTAAAACAGTATGAAACAGCTACTATTTTAAGTTTTATTGGGCATTAATAGGATGCATTAAGGATTGATTAGGTTAGAAGGTATGAATCTGTGGTAGATACAGCATCGTTTCTAACTTCCTCTAGTGGTACTCAGCATTCAAAAGCTGTAATCAAAAAAGAAGATGGAGTTCCTTTCAGTTTGGTATAAACAAGAGGTGGGTAAGAAGGAACTTTACAGCATTGCTGAAATAGGTGATGATGGGTTCATCCGGGTCTAAAGGTAAGAGATCCTAAAAATGTATGAGGATCTGGGGAAAAGAGTTCTAGGGGCTGAGGGAGACGAAGAGGACAAGTAACAGATTCAGTGAAAATAAAAGAAGTAGGTTGAGGAAAAGGTTTGGTCAGCAAGGGGTTTTCAGAGTTTAGGGTGCAATGGATCTGTATAATGATACAATCTAAGATGAAGTAGAAAAAGACAGTTAAAGCTCAGAAATAGAAAGTCTAAGTTCTTGGAAAGATTCATTGCTTGAACATTTTATTAAACCTCAAAGGTTCTTGTCATGTGTTAATAATGCTGCTTCTGTGAGTCAGTGTGATGTCATAGAGATAGGTGAAGTGGGATGAAAAATTCTGAATTACTTGTTGAAGTCATTGAACAAGGTGGGAGAAGGTCCAGGAGCATAGCAAGAGCTAGAGAAGAAAGAAAGATGATGAAATAATCTGATGCTGCTGGTCTGTATGAAACTTGTGGACTTATTTTTCTAATCAGGAAAGTATGTTTTCTTGTTTTCCTATTTTCTTTCCTGATTGAAAAAAAAAAGTAGTTTCCTACTTTAAAAAATATTTGACTCTTCTCCTATTTCACATTTGTATTTTATTTACTTAGAAATAGATACCCTTAGCAAGTAGGGAGGTGGATTGAGAAAGTAGAGAAGGGGGAGGTTAGGATTGGTGGTTTTTCTTGTTTTTTTTTTTGCGGTACACGGGCCTCTCACTGTTGTGGCCTCTCCCGTTGTGGAGCACAGGCTCCTGACAGGCTCAGCGGCCATGGCTCCCGGGCCCAGCCGCTCCGCGGCATGTGGGATCTTCCCGGACCGGGGCACGAACCCGTGTCCCCTGCATCGGCAGGCGGACTCTCAATCACTGCGCCACCAGGGAAGCCCGGTGGTTTTTTAATGTGATAAAGTTAGGAGGATGTTCAAAGTTTCTCAACTGTCCATTTTCTCTAATATTGGAAAGCTTATAAATCTAGACAAAGCTTGAAGAGGTCTTAAATTATTTACTTGTAATCCAACTTTTTTAAGGCAGAGACTATTTGAATAAAGTATCCTAATAGCACAAAATATTTAGAAATATCATTTGTGTTTAAAATTTTAGAGTGTTAGCCAGTTTTACTAGAAGACAGAGTACTAGTCATTAAAGTTTGTAACGTGTCTTTTGTACATTTTTACTTTTTTTTTTTTTTTTTTTTTTTTTTTTTTTTTTTTGTACGCGC